AAAAGAGAACTGGCGATGTCCCTGCCACTATCCCGGCAACCGTCACATTCCCAAGCCATCAAGCCAACAGCTGACAGGTCGCGATCGCTGAGCGACCGGACGAGATTGCCGATCCGGGGCACCACTCCGTGGCCTGGGCTGTGATCGGGGATGGGAGCACTCCGTCGTGAAAGGCGAATTATTTTAGGAACATGCCTTTTTCTTCCTTGTAGAGGATGAGCCGACGTTGTAGGCTAATTGAGTCTAGACACTGGGTGGGGATGGGCTGACCACGCCGCTGTTTCTTGGTGCCGACATGGCGGAAGTTGGAGGATCAACCTAAAGAAGAGACGAGAATAATTGGGGGTGGATTAGCCACATCACGACGTGCGTAAAGCGATCGCGTTTCCCGGTCAGATGGGATCAGAAAAGGCCCGATAATTCGATCCAGAGAGAGATTGGAGATGGAGGCGCATGAAGAATGAGAGATGGAATCCTGGATTGAAGAATGCAGGTGGAGCCAAAAACGGACTAGCGTGGTGAGCCACGGGACCGGGCGCCTCTCTCCTGTGGCTGGAATGGCAAAGCCCATCGGCATGGGCTGAGCCCCCCTGGCGACGACTATCTAGTACTAATCCCATCCTCCCCAAGCCGCTATACCCTAGCTGGCTTGGCTAATATTAAGTTTTCTAGTGTCTACCGATCCTGCCGTTCTATGCGATACATATTCCAATCGAATGATTGACCTATGGCTTTCCCCATAACCCGCGATGCTAACTTGGTAGTTATTCCATGGGCCGCTGGTAGTAAACATTGATCTCTCTCCAATCCAAGCCCTTGAGGCAATGTCCGCGCGGTCTATTGTCCACCGCTTAAGCATTCATCAGGAACTGTGTGACGAAGTATAAGCTTACGTATATCTCCAGTTGAGGTTGGTTCTTAGAGACCAGGTCAGCCTCACAACCCCTTACGTGCATGGCTTTCTTTGTCATTTCGACCGTTTCCTGTCGCACAAACTGGATCATCGCAGCCATAGTATCTTCGGTTCATTTTCTGAAAGAACCTGCTAGAAGGAAATTCCAAGTAGCCACCCAAAGACATACGATTGTTTGTTTCTTTTGTGCAACGTTGCTTACATCACGTCAAGCCGTCGGTCCTTGCATCTAAAGCACAACCTGAGCAGTTGGACCTCCAATCCTGCTAGGACTTACTTTGCTAGACGGCGAGTGACAGACATATCTGTAAGGGCCAGTTGCCATAGGCTCAAGAAACTCTTCCACGCAATTAGCCGCACGTGCATGCCCTCGATGAAAATTTTCCATGTGCCTTTGGATCCGCATGAGCGTGTCATTTGCCCCGTCGCCTAGCCCCATCTGTCTAGACTTGTCTCCACAACAGTGCGTCCCTCTATGAAAGACTTGTAGTACATGGTCAGAGGAACCTGGTCTCGGAATTTCGCCCTCCGTGTGATATTTATAAATATGGCTGCCTGGTTCGAAATAGGTCTCGGAAACTCATCGCAATACAAGCGCTTGAGACTCTGTTCATAGCGCCTTAGGTCGGCGGGAAAGAGAAAATGATCCAGAGACAAACCCGTTGGTACAAATTTTGGATACTAACATGTAGTGCACCATGATAGGTGGGCCCGGTCGGAGAAGGTGGCTTGCGAATTCATCTTTCACTAATTCTGCGAGCAGACACACAGACTCATTGTTGTGAACTCACCGTCGGTGCGGCTGCAGGAATACGGTGTCCTCAAGGCTGACATTCCGTCAAGTGTAATTCGCAGACTGGTAGCTCAGGAACAATCGAGCACTGAATTTTAAATGGGGTTGGCCCTAGCAGTAATGGATGACAGGCGGATTGTCGATTTCTGAATCACTTCCTGATCATGCGCGGCGATATAGGCAAGGAAGAACTGTATTACCCATCCTTATCACTGGGGTAATGAAGAGCGGAGTGGCCATAACGGCCATAATAAAATTCCCGAGAGCATGACAGTGAGCTATAGCAGCTAAGCAACCATCCTTTCTGCAAGGGTCAGCAGCATGCTCGCTGATCTGTGATACAGAGATGAATATTTCTCTCCGCCGTTCTTCCTTCTGCTTCAATGGTCTGTCTTGCGAGGCGATCCTAAATTCCGCGAGAGAGATGTCCGGTGACCCAGAAGCATCATCCGTGATGTGTTAATCAGACTAGCTATGTTCTTTAAAATCATGGCAGTAATGTAAGCCACATTCCCGTAAAGCAGCTATTACCTCATCTCCATACACAAGACTGGAGAGCGCTCTCCACATCACGGCGGCTGAACCCCGGCGTCCACCCAAGACATATTGCATTTGCGGATAGTGCTGTCAATCAGTGAGTATTGAGAATCGAAAAGCAAGGAGCGAAATGGAGCCATACCCTGTATGAAACGTGCCGCATTAATCGCTGTTCCCTTGAGACGATGGCGCGCGGGATCCATGGGAGGATATGTGAGAAGATGTACATCATGCTCCCTCAAGTATCCTTCCAGGTCGCCCATATCAAACCAGTCTCCTTGAAGCTTGGTCTGTATATGTTGCGGGAAGTGTGATACTGATCGCACGGAAACCCACCGCACTCCAGGCCGGAATGGACGATCAGCTGCTTTGCTCTTCAGGGAAGACCGAGAGTAATGGGTTCCTGCGCCCCCCAGACTGAAGAAGGGTACCTCTTCCCACTCCGCAAAATATTTTCGACTCTCTTTCTCATTTAGCGCGGCTTGGAAGTATGACGCAATACGTGTTCTCTCCATAATCTGAAGTAGCAGGCAGAAATGCTTCTGTATCCTGTCTATACTGATGGATTCGTCACAAAGGGCAAAGCACCCTTGATAGACGCATGACATGTGGAGTCTATCGGTGAATACAGTCAAATCCATTTCAGCGGATTCCGATGACTCGAAGAAGCGAGGTATTTTCTTGCTCCATGTTATCGATGATTCTCTAAGCTCCAGATGTAGATTAGGCTCCAAGATGGAGGAGACGCTCTCATCCAGTTCGACAATCTGTGCCGATTGGCTATGCTGTTCATGCGGCAGGAAATCGGGCAGGCCATCATCGGTTTGAGGTGGCGAAATAGTCGTAACCTCCTGAGGGCTATCATTGCTGGCCTCTCTCGCTAGGGTGAGGCATGTCTGAACGGTATCGCGCAGATGCTCCGTCAAACCAGCATGAGATGCCAATACTCCCGACCGAACCAGCTCGTCGCTAAGCGATAAAACAGATGTACTCATCTTTTCCACAATTCCTTCGAGTTCGGAGATGCGACCTTTCAAAGACGAGAGGTTGGCTTCTTTTCGTGAGCGATATGCACGTTGCGCAAGTCGGATCTGTCTCCGACGTCTCTGCTCGAGTTGATCAATTTCTTGATAGTAGTGTACAAACAAGCTGAGTCCCGCGTACCTCTTCTGGATCTTCATCTGCGGTGTCCTGGGCTACTTTCCGCGGTCGACCTCGTTTAGTAAGCGCCGACGAGCCAGACTTCTCTACCTCATTGCGAGTGCGTTTCAGAGATTTTACTGGCGGCTGAGTCGGCTGGGTGTTGTTATTATAAAGAAGCAATTGATTCTCTGGTATGATTCCACCAAGAAGGGGGAGTTGGACATCTTGCTGTCTCCTTTGTTGTTGCCTGATCTGTTGGGGCACGGGATACGAGCAGGCCGAGAGCAGCGATGTTATCTGCGGGGCTGTCGAGTCATAGTGAGATCCAAAGAACGCATCGTTGACGCTCTCCCAGGGGAGTAAAGCTGTGTCTGAGTCGCTCATATTTGCTTTTGGCGATAGACAGAATATAACATTATTTACCGTGATGGTTTGTTTGTACGGAAGAGCTGATGGAGGTGGTGGAGAGAAAAGTAAAAGGCAGAAGAGCTGCTGACATATTCTGCCCTGCCGTGTCCAGTCGCCACACGTCACAGCATCCAACCCGTCCAGACCGTGTCGATCTATGCTTTATTGGGGCGGATAGCATAAAAGTAAAGTTAAACAGCTTAGAAACTTTACCTCTATGCAAGTATATTTTTGACACTAAGTGGATGATGTGCTTCAGGTGTGTGTTGGTTGAGCAAAAGGGGAGGCAGGAGAGATACCTCGGCTCGGGATGTTCACTAATCAAAAATTTTGATCATCCTCATCCGCCCTACAACACCAGAACCAGTGGGAACCAAGATTACTTCTAAACCTTAATGTGAGTCAAATAAGTGTTTAGTTAGTTGTCTAAATCGTACTTTTATCTATAACGAATCCCGATGCAGAAAAAGCTCCCTACATTGGGGTGACTCTTTAGGATAGGAAATTGTTGTAATTTTGATCTCCACTTAGACCAGTCCTATCTATATCAGAGTTGGTTCTTTTCTTCTGTAAAATACTAACATATAAATACAATAAGCAACAAATTCCAGCTTGAACAGTAGATTCAAGATGATTTTGATGATCATTTCTGGCCCCACCGCCCAGTCTTCAAGTAGATTTTTATTGATCCACAAGCTATCTCTCTAGTCTGATTTAATAGCACATTGGAAAGACTCTTTCGTTGGTATAATAGAGTAGCATATAGGGGGCTGGAGATCATCTACTTGGCCCATAATGGCCAATATTCACATCCCAGACATACTCTCCACAAGTTGCCCGTTGATCATAGTCGTCTGGGTCTTCACCGTCAGTCCCAAGCATTTCGATCTCTCCAAAATTGTTTGCTCGATCGCCTCATCAACCTCATCAGGATGAATCATTATAGTCATCTTTTCCCCTCTTTCCGTCTGCCACGTCTTTGCTTCTCCGTAAGTTGACTGCGGGACAAGACATACGGTCTCGAATACCATACCCGCGTATTCACATCCCTGTAATGGATATGGATTCGACACCAGTTCAGCCGAAACGGAAAGCCCTCTCAATTCCGACTCAAGAAATGGCGCTAATTGACCCTGGAGACAGGCCTCATGAAGGGCCATTTCATCCCCACCCTGAGCAAAGAAGTTCGCATATGCTTGTCGGAGGTCACTCAGCTCCAGTGGTGTTTGACAGTTGTAGAATCCATAATCCACAGTAACACTACGGTGAGGTTGTGGAGACAACAAGCGAGTGAACCGTTTTAATTCCCATACACTCTGGTGCGTCGTTCCGACAGCGCTCAAAAGGGTCTCGAAATTCCGCAATTCTGCGATGGCATCGCCAAGTCCGTACTTTTCTGAACAGGTCAACCATCTTCGACTCTACCATGGCCTTCCAGAACTCTTCGAATACACATGTATCTAGGAGCTCTCTGTATAGCTTCGCCAATTGTTGGGTTTCGCCGTCATCCTCAGCTGTGCAGAATCCAAGGCAAATCCAATTGTCCTCGTCGGCGTCGGGGACGTGTCCATGTCGAATCTGGCAAAGAAACACATAGGCTTCGAGCTTTTCCCGTGGCTTCCACAGCTGATATGGCACTTGCTGATCTTCGGGCTTGAGCACATGTTTTTGAGATTCAAATACGATATTAAAATCAGTCTCTTTGTTGGCAGCAAAGCCATCCTGCTGACTTATCCAATAGCTCTCATTGTGAATCCAAGTAGATGGTATCTGGGAGCTTCAGAACAGAATACTTCTTTCAATTTGTCTTGTTTCCATGCGTCTCGAAGCTCTTCTTCTCCCACGCCCCAATCGTTTACGAGTCGGCAGTACAACCCGAAAGTTCTCTGTTGATCAGCCGCCGATGTAAAGTAAAGGATCCCGAAGGCCTTAGCAACGTCGTACTCTTTGGGAAATTCAAGCGTCTGACATGCAATGATGAAACGATCCACCTCATCTATTGGTCGTCCAAGACTGCAGTTAAACTTGTGTTTTGGCCAATGAGTTTTCTGGCACACTCTACTGCAGTAGTATATTGAGCCGCATCTGAAACAGGGACTCAGATTATCGGTTGCTGTACATCTTGCACAAGCTATCGATGTGCTTTTCGGCGTAGAATGGACGCAAGGAACTGCCGGAGGCGATTTACTTTCTAAGTCAGAAGTAGACGAGATTTCTTGGGTGCTACGATCAAGTTTACTCGATCTATAGCAGGTATCAATGAATTTCTGCTTGTGACAAAGACATAGAGCTCTTACCTGACAGCTATGTCTCTCGGACTGCGATGTGATAGCCACTCCGACTCTCTTGCTTGTAGTTTAGGGTCCGGTACATGGCGAGAAACCGGTGACCAGATACGCATGTGTTGTGGTGCAACTGGAGATGAGATAGTTGATTCTTTGACTGCAGCAATATGGTAGTCCCGTCCTAGAGCACATTCACGTTGCATCACATCTCGGAGGTTTCGAGCAGCGTTGTCCAGTGTCTCACAGTACTTTAAAGGCATGATAAACGATTTCGGCAGTCTCCACTGCGAGTACACCTTTCCATGATTGTTACGCGCTTGAGATTGTGATAAATTTTGTAGGAAATGACCGCACACGAAACAGGTCTTCTTGCTAATGCCAAGATACTGTGGTGTTCGGGGTACGCTGTCAGTACTCATGAGATGTAGCACCATTGTCATTTCTGCATGGACCCATTTCTTTTTCCTAAGGCACTCATTCAATCTCGCTCGGTCTCTTTCGGACGGCAACTGTGGGCACAGTGATAGGGACGGCGTAACACTTTCAGCTTTGTGCCCAGGCAGGAGCTCTATTTTGACCCGCTGAAAGTTTGAGATCTCGCGCGCTGCTTTATCAAAGGTGTCGGCGGCGACTATAGAGCGAAGAATATAACCCAGCTCTCGCACTATCTTATTTGCTTTTGGCAATGCCTCGATCCTGGAACGAAAGTCAATAGAGGCCCAAATCCTCTTTACCCCATCGACAAGGACTTGTGAAGAGTTGCGTCGGGAAAGAAAGCTCCTTAAAAAGTCGACCAGGCCCGTCTCCCCCTTTACTGCTTCTAAGAAATTGACGAGTTGTTTGATATGGTACTTCAAGCGTGGGGTATAGTATTCGATGAATTCTCTTTCCAGGTCTGGCTTGAAGTCCAGGTTGAAAGGATCTGAACCCTAAATATTAACCCAACGAAAGAAACAAGACATATGACATGCTTATGCTTGCCTCTCACTGCAAGTTGTTCCAACGTGCCCGCCAAACTCTCTAAGAGCCTAATGTCCTTGTCTTCCCAAGCAGCGTTCCGTGATGCGAGTATAGTAACCTCATCAACTCCTTCCCGTAGATACGTGCAGGTCACATAATGTGCATCTTTCTTATAGCACAGTAACTCGGCCAGTTGATCCAGAAAGCATCTTCTCAAGTTCTTTGTATTTTCTGAAGCTAATGGAGCGACGACGGCCGACGATCCAAGTTCATGGTTGTGTAGTTGCTCATTGGAGGTTTCTTCGTCGTCAGTTTCTTCTTCGTCCTCTTCCTCTTCTCTTGGAAGGGGAGTACGTTGTTGCTGCTGGACGTGGAGGACGGCCGCTAGCGTTGTTATCTGTGATTCTATCTCGTTTGGGAGATTCCAAACGTCAGTCTTGATGCCAGCTGTCGGGCGAGGCAGGTGGAGCTTTTTAACGTGCGACATTCTGTTGCGGACGACAAGACCGGCGTAGAATCTAATGATTCGGACGTTCTTAGAATCTAATCAGGTAATGGTTAAGATGTGGTCAAAATCGTGGTTAAGACAGAGATACCAACTGTAGGCGGGGTTGTCGGGCGGGTGAATGCTACAGCTGGCAGGGATACTGCATGGAAAGCCACAGAAGCATAAAACCATAGCTGAGTGGTCAGCCTCGACATATTATCATGTGGTAGCTGGCGCCATGCATCCTAGAACACATAATCCATAGCTTTACATTGATATGCTATTTGTACCACCTCGCCTCTACTGATACTGGGCTCATTATTGCGTATTTCTATGCAGAACATTCTCTATTGAAAGGACTACGTTAAAAAGGTGTATTGCTGGGCCAGCCATCCTAAATGGGTTGAACCTATCGCTGGTAAATGTTATGTCCAAGCTCTATGCGTTACCCCCGTCTATAATCTGCACCACATGAAGGGTTGAATGATAACAGTGCTTTTCTTCCAAAAACGTAACTCTACTTTTGATAGACTGTCTTGCGCTTATGCCGTAGCATACTCTTTCAAGTACGCGGCAAGCTTCTCAATGCCCGACTCGGGAATGGCATTGTAGTTCGACGCACGGATACCTTTACATTGAATCAGTCACAGTTGTCGATCACAGCTTTTTCATGTCACTTACCTCCGACGCTTCTGTGGCCCTTCAGGCCAGTGATGCCACGCTCGACAGCACCCTTCAGGAAGGACTTTTCGGCATCGTCGACGTTGCCACCCTAACTAGGTCAGCCCTCGCGTCGAGACATCCGTAAAGAGGGTTGAGGGACATACCTTGATCACACGGAAGCAGGCGTTCATTCTTGAACGTACCTCCTTAGCGGGGACGACCTTGTATACCTCGGGGTAGGCGTCAAGCGTCTCATAGATGAGCTTAGCCTTTCTGTCAGCCACAGCCTGTTGTCCATCCACCTTGTCGGGGAATTCGGCAAGCAGCTTCTTCAAAACCTGGCCTGCAATGTAGACACTAAATGCTGTCAGCGGAACCGACCTTGTAAGCTTGGTGGATCACTCACTCGAAGATGGGGAGAGTGTTGTACAAGCTGTTGTTCTTAGCGGCAACAGAGTAGTCGAGGATGGTGGGCGCAATCGGCAAGCCGAGCTTGCGCAGGATGGCAGGAGAGCAAGGGGAAGAAACAGGGGGCAGGAGGTCCTTCTTGATGATCACTCCCGTGATTCCAGCAACACCCAAGTTCTTCTGACTGTAAGGAGTCAGTGAGAATTCTATCATGAGAGTTGACAAGCCTTACGCTCCAAAGAAGATGATCGAGTAGTTCTTGGTAAAAGGTTAGCATCGAACCAATTGGTATAGCATAGTTCTGGTACATACCTGGACAGGAATACGTCTAGACAGGATAGTGGAAGAGAAGTCTCCAACGACAATAGGATCCTCGTCGGTACCCTTGGGCTCCAGAACCTTGGGGAAGCTGGGGAATTCGACGCCATCAACAGTCTACGTAAGACGCGTTAGCGAGAAACTCATAAATGAGAACCTATACACACCTCGTTCTCGCACTTGTAGACCAAGGCAGCCTTGGGGCTCAGCTTCCAGGTCGACTCGTCTGCGATCTTTCCGAACTTGCCGTCGTTGACGGTCCTGGAGTCGCTGACGATGTTGACATACTCAGAGCCAAGAAGGCGAACGGCTTCCTGGCTGGCCTTCAGCGACCATCTGTGGGGCCATTTAGTATATGTTGATCGATCGCTTTGGGCTTGGGTGACCATACGATCCAGTGACCAGGTAGTCCAGCTTCAGTTCCGACTCGACCTTCTTGCGCAGCTCGCTAATGACTTCCTCCTCGCTAATACCGGCCTTCTCCTTGATGATCTGCTGTCTCTGCTTCTCAGCCCAGATTGAGACGAGGTTGTAAACGGTCGCATCGAACTGGCCGGATCCACCACCTTCAATCCATCAGCGAGTTGCGATTGAGAAGAGAGATGGGGGCAGCGATGTACCTTGCAGGAAGAGGATCTCGTAGGTGTCGGGGATATCCAGGAAGTTGGCAAGATCAGCCTTGGCGCCGTTCAGGATATTTGTCGCGATTTCGCTGCGATGGCTGTGTTCTGCGACACCACTAGAAGAGCAGGTCAGATACGGTCGCAGATAAGATCGCACAGATCAGTGCCCCTCACAGTCCAGTGTCTTGGTAGTTCTGCAGCGCCTGGGCAGCTGTGGCGAGAACATCGGTGGGGAGACTGGCAGGGCCAGCACCCAGGTAGGTAATGTCTTCTCTCTTCATGATGATTGATTGCAATTGCTGTTGTATTGTCTTGCTGCAAGCGATAAGAACTGCAGAAGAATTTAAATGACGCGATCGGTGCTTGACTCATTAAGTCCGGGGCTAGTTAAGCAAAGCGGCTTCCCCGGGCGTTGTCTGGGCCCGGGCCTTTGTTTCCCCGGTGTGCCACAGACTTGCCCCTCGCCGGCTAAAGAATGCTGTGGCATTTCAAGCCATCCTCGTGAGGTTTGCCGATGAACGCATGATAGTGCCAATAGTAAGGGGTGTATGACAGGGTTGGATATACGCAGGTGTGACTCAAACCTGTAGCCCAAAAAAGTGATGGCATATAAGCGGAGAACAAAAATAGAAATTCTCCCCGACTGGGAGTCGAACCCAGGTCTCCCGCGCTTGTTCCCGACTGGGATTGACAAGCGGAAATCATGACCGTTAGACCATCGAGGATTGTTGAAGGGGTTTTATATATTTTGGCTATATAATCCTATGGAAAGTGAGTTGAATGAGAGCCCCCCTTGAGGATGCTTTACGCCAGAAGAGTAAGGAGCCATTGCAGCTCAACATCAAAACGGTGTAGATCCTCGTCTAAAGCATCGGAGTTGGTTTTAACTCTCGAAATTGTTGGTACTAAGATACATATATAACTACATTACATTATAATCCTGCGCGTTACATCAAATCTGCTTACGGAGTTCCTAAATTCATCACATCTCTCTGCTGCTTTGTCCCTCTTTAGCAATTACTATTGGGCCATACGCGTCTTGGGATGCAATTCTATCAGCTAGCGGATAATTCCTCTGCGCTAATGCTGTCTTTCCTTCCAAGTTGCTGCCCACTTCGTTAGGCGATCATTGACTCGTCGGATATATATTTCGATGCACAGTGCCGCAGATGCCTCAAACGAGGATTGAAGCCTATGCCATCGTATCGTCAGATACTACTACTTTTTTAATTCTGTGTTAGCACATGTAATACAATTGCATATGTCACACAGAAAGAAAGATGATGTCGCCTGCAAGGCCCTAGCATTGTAAGACATCGTGACACCCCATTCGCCACTTCAACACTGATAAACCTATCGACAGCCCCAACACTATCTTTAGGTCGTACAGAACACTATGGGCTCCCTTGTAAATATGCAAGTAGAAACAACGGAATATACTATTGTTTCAGCGAACCGACCACTGCGGTTGTATTGCATGCTAATCGGTGTCAGTGTCAAGTGTCAACAGCATCATCCATGGATGTGGAAAAGCAGGACCCACCAACTTATCATGTGGGGTCAGCAACCAGCAGGGTCCGATTCTACCACACCCCAATCAAGCCAACGCATTCGGCGCCCAACACAAATCTTTCCCACCAAGACACTTCGGAATATACAAATAAGTATACTAAGATGAGCACGATTGCTGTGGCCGGTGGAACCGGCGGCATAGGAAAGACTATCGTCGAGGCATTGCTGCAGGAACCCAAATATCGGGTCATTGTCTTGACGCAAAGTGTACGACCCCTCATAGACGATGCCTCGCGCGCACTGACTCATGAAACGTAGAGTCCCAAAGAGGATCCAGTTCTCAAACAAACGCAGCAAATCCAAATCAACTATAATGATCTTGACCCTATTGTCGAAACGCTGGAGAAGCATGCCGTGCACACAATCATCTCCGCCATCGGAATCTACACCGACGAAGCCGCCCAATCTCAGATGAACCTTGTCCAGGCTGCCGAGAAATCCAGTGTAACCAAGAGATTTGTCCCCAGCGAATATTCATTTATCCAAACCGAGGAGTATGTTTACCCTGCTTGGCACTAATGGCAACTTTGCTAACGAAACAGTCTCCTACCCCACGATCCCAGCATTAAGTACTGGCTTGATGCAGCTGAATTGCTGAAGAAAACCAAGTTGCAATATACTCGGGTCTGCCCTGGTGTCCTCATGGACTACTGGGGAATGCCTCGAGTGCGAACCAACATCCATCAACACATTATCGGGATCGATGTAGCCAACTGCTGAGCTGGTATTCCTGGCGACGGCAACGACAAAATGAGCGTGACATATTCATACGACCTAGCAGCATATATCGTGAAGATACTAGATCTCGAGGAGTGGCCTGAATTTAGCATTTTTGCGGGAGATGACACTACTTACAATGAGCTCCTCAAGCTTGCTGAGGAGGCTCGACGTATGTGATTCGAACACCCACGAAGACATTTAACTAACATGACCAGGCAAACAATTCGATGTTGTTTATGACAGTGCTGAGAACATCAAAGCAGGTCGGGTCACCGTGCCACCGTTCCTTACTGGGCTTTCTGAGGAGGAGGCCTGGGAACTGACCGTTCTGGTGAGCCGACTCACTATCGCCGGTGCTTTTGATCTACCGCAGGAGCGTATGAATGCATTGTTTCCCGATGTCAAGCCCATCAAGATGAGGGAATTCCTCATTAACACATGGAAAGATGGGGCTTAATCATAAATAAAGTTGAATAATAATGAGTGACTAATATATCTTGTTGTCTCTCTACAAAATCTTCGTAATAGCAAAATGTGGTATATAAACATCACCTGCCCAGGCATTGCACCCAGCCATATCATCTCCAATTCGATTAACTCCAACGTATACAATAAGCATCAATAGTCAGAAACCTAGTCAGAGGTCTTCATCATCATCTCCGTCCATAGCCCCCTTAAAGGGGTTATCGAATACTAATACATGATCGTCATCTGCATAACATATTAGCCTACCCACAAATTACCACGTGTGCGGGAGGCACAGCATACGGTCAATCGTATCCGGATCACTTTCCGCCTCAGTCATATGCCCAACCGCATTAACGATATGTGATGTCACATTATTGAGGTGTAGCATATCAATCAAGGAGTCCCTGTGCTCGTGGGTTGGCTGGCTGAACGCCGGTGTAGGGACCTGAGTCTCGTGTTCGGACATTGTGCGATATGTTTTAATACTATGATACTGTCTAATGCCGAGGTAAGGAAGTCTTTGAACAGGATAGAACAACAACAGTGGCTGACTACAACCAAGTCTGCAGACCGTCAAGATTTATACCTGGTTGCCCCCAACTATGGCAGTCGGACCTGACATCAGCGAAAGCTAAAGCCTGTTTATCCCAATAGAACTGGACATTGTACAGTAGACAAAGCCAAAGAGACTATCTATCAAGATCTTTATGAATTTTCTCCTGACATATTCGGAAAGAGGGTAGGTCTTTCTGTAGCGTACATTTTATTCGTCGGAAATATGGAGAAGAAGAAAAAGAAACATTATCCAGCACCCAACGCCATCCCGGGGTAATAGCTAATCTGGAGCCACCCAAAATATCATCCTGGGCATTTAACATAACCCATAGAACATCAATCATCAAACATCATCTTAATCAAAATCCTCCACATCCCATGTCGAATCCGGCGGTCCATCTGTGATACCAATTAGCCATCTTTTGCTCCCCCCCCTATATTCGCAACAAAGAGATATCGTACAGCCATCTTGAATAGAAAGCAAATACCCAATCGTCTCAATCAGACTCGGCGAGTCCTCCACAGGAGGGACCTCCTCGATGAGATCTTCCAGACTGGGAGAACTGTGATTTTGACCCCCAAGCTCAGGTTCAGGCTTTTTGACTTCTTCAACCGCGATGCCCATATTATCCTTCTCAGAAGTGGTGGACATGGCGATGGATGTGCCTCCTTATGAAGACCATCGATCGATCGATAGATAGGTAGATAATAGGCAAAGCCTCAATAATGTAGTGTAGTTTCTCGACAGAATACCTCGTAGCGCAGGTACCAAGTAGCTACAATCTCCATCCCTCCATAACACAGCCAAAATTTGCCATCACAGGCAACTTAAATAGCGTGCAAGCAACCTCCAAGCCATCAAGTCTTGACATCAAGCGATAATCCATAACCTAGGCTCAATTCGCGGGGTAGACTGGTAGCTTTAGATATTTACGACAAAAGAGGTGAAGTCATGGGATCACCGGTGAACCTTCAAGTGGCTACAGGGGGATCGTGCTCAATTTTGGGTCTGTCATCGGGCCTCGATTGAAGTCTGTTGGTTGATTTGACATGGCTGGCCTTGGTTGATAGTACAGGGATTCATGGGGCGGATGGCCTGATAAGGTACGGCCAAACCTAATTTTAGACCATGGCAGATGTATTCTGGGGGCGTTCTAATGACCTGGTAGCGATGTCAGGGGAGAAATATGGGCTTCTTCTGAGATTGGGAGGAGCCGGTGATTCATTGAAATTGATAGATAGCTGAAGGAGAAATAGCTATTGTATTCGGGATGGGCCCGAAGTGCTGCGTGTGTTTTACCACTCTTTCAGTAGCACATGACCCAAGCTGGATGGATTAATGGGCTAGCCTGGCCAAGCATGCGATCCAGAGCATGTATACTGATGAAAGTCCACGCCAAGCGACCGAGCGAAGGCGCGACTAACACACACAATGTAAAAATAATTGTGAAGAGAAAGCAGAACAAGAATGAATAAAACAAAAAGAAATGTTTCAAGGCCCGAGCCGCGGATCGAACGCGGGACCTCTCGCAGATATGCTTGGGTTTGTATCCCTAAGCGAGAATCATACCACTAGACCACCCGGGCTTGATATATTATGCTGTGGCATTTTTGATATCAAAGGGGGGGGGCATAATTTCAGCCAGGATCCGCTTACATGCCTTCTTTGAGCCAAATAATAGACGCATTCACCTTAGAACACATCAATCAGCATAGTTCCTAATCCCCCTCAGGGCCCTCTTTAGCTTCAAGCCTTGGCAGAGTACGGTAACTCGAGCGGTCAATGTGACGTCAAACTTGTCCACAAGGAGAAGCACTCACCTCACTGCACCTCTCTCCGTGTCATCTCACTTCAGGCAATACCATCAGCATTCATGGCATCAAAATATTCCTGTATCGGTGCTGGATTCTGTGGAACAGTCTGGGCCCTATCTGAAGATGGTCGAGCTGTCAAGCGAGAAGATGGCGGTCCAGACAGGTCTCTCGCTAACGATTATGCTATGCACCGGAGGATCCTCCAGAGCTTTTCTCGTCTGACAGACATCAAACGAAGATCCGGTATCCACCAAACATCCCCCCAAGTCCGGGTCTCGGAGTGTCATCATTTCATTTCTTCAAACGATCAGTGGTGGACGGAGAATCTCCCCCTCTTCCCATCGCACTACTCCCCCTGCAATGCCATTGTCTCAGACCGCATTCCCCCATTCGCCGAGCAGATCAGAAAACTCATCGTTAACAGATACTGCGACCAAACAATAAAAACAGAGATACTGACAAGTGCCGCCAATAGAGACTGTCTGATACGACCATACCTGGGTAGGCGACGAACACAGAGGACCGAGATTAGCAGACCCTCGAGACTTGCAGCATTCTCACTGAGAAACTACCCATTACACGAAGACCAGATGGAAGACATCGGCATTCCGACCGAAGACATGCAGAGCTATGCGCGTATGATGGGTGAAGCATTAGCCACTCTACACTGGCTCGGCGAGGTGGACGGAAATGATATTGAATTTGTTCTGGCTCCTCCCCCTTTCCACGAAGAAGGACCCAGCACCAACACAATCACCAATGTTCTTGGTCGGCATACTATGTGGATGCTGGACTTCAATCTATGTCGATATATGTCCATGAGCGACGCTGGGGTTCAGCAGGCTGTTACTGCTTTTTGGCGCAATGATCCGTTCTACCCCCGACCGCAGAGCAAGCTGTGGGGTGATTTTCGCGAGCAATATCTGATGAGTAGCAAGATGATTATCGCTGAGTATAGTCAGATCGATTTCGATGAGCGACTATCTTTCGCTCGACATTTCATTGAATTGATTGAGACGAAATAGGATTACAACAAAGTGCTCTCAGCTCAAGACACGCATTTCATCGAGGGAAAGGGTCTTTATGAGTATGCGGTGACACGTGTGGCCGCGATGCGTTGGAGCCGGCTGCATTGGGCATCGGTCCAGATCACTACCAATTACTGGGCGGTCTGAGGCCTAGAACAGGTAGCGACCGAAGCAGGCACGGATCAGAATCTAGCTCTTCTACATTCCTGCATGCCATACAAATATATGCGAAAATAATAAGGCTGCAGAAAACCGCTCCAACAAGGCGTTGCTCCTAGACATATGGCTCTGCTTGAGCTGGAGGACTAGGATAAAACCAGACTAGCCGGCTGCAAGGGAAGTAGATCAGCCCAGCTGTCCCTGCGGATGTCAGACGGTCAGTCGCTTGACTCAGAGGAGGTACCTGGATGACACCAAATTCAATTAATCACCGACCATGTCAGGCGACGAATCGCAAGGGTTTTCTCTGCTTATCTTCCGACACTTACGTGGACATTGAATATCAACTTGGCTCGGACTCCGATCGTGTTTCCATAGAGCGCAGACTAATCTATCAAGCAAGCACTATGCCAGGATTTTTCCCCTATAGCCGAGACTTATTATGGCGCCACGACCAGGATGTCTTCACGGCTGAGTGGGAACTGCACATATCAGAGCGACGAACCGTGGCACCACTCAGGTGACGTAATGTCGATCCATGCAATTTGGGTGTTGGAGACCCGGTGACAGGGGTCACTCCAAGTCTGGGCCTCCGTGTCCTGGATGACCGTGTGTTGGCATTCCGATGGCGCGGGGTTTTTCTTATAACGGTGCTCGGATCCTTTCTCCCTTCGTGTTATTGTCTTTCTTTTTTTGTTAGACGCGGATTCTTCTTCAGAAGTTGGACACCCGCTTCCGCGTTCTTCTTGCCCTACCATTTCAACCTATGGAAAGATTTCGTCGTTAGCAGGTCGCGCGGGTACGCTTCTCTTGCAGTACCAGAGCGATCTCCCTCCGCTTGCAGAGAACTCTGTTAGTCGACAGGAATGGTTCAAGCACAGTGACAGTGACTATAAACGTCTATTTTCTCTGCGACAGAAAGGGCAGTCTCAGGTATGCGCTCTCAACTAGCATCGTCATGAAGTTACGGACGCTAATGATCTAAGATCTGACCAGCACCTTGTCCGACCACTCGCCAGTCGATTAGCGGTACGAAGATACGACACAACTAGACACGATGTCGAACACAATGACACAGCCGGCTGAAAGTTCGGTGAGCTACGATCTTACCAGGAAAAGCCAGATGGGGGGAGACTGCATTCTGAAGCGCTTTGCGCAATGGTTCTGGTCGGTGTGGATGATCGCCGGGTCTGGGGCCCACGATGCCCTTGCGGATCCCGCGAATCACCCCAAAGCGACAAACGGTGCCTCCACAAAGACGAACGGATGTGCTGGCACAGCGAGAGGTGGTTTGTCTACCACTGGAGAATGCGACACAGGACTGCGGGAACAGTCCACTGAAAACGAGCATAATTATCCTTGCAAGGCATGCCAGACATGGGGTGTTGTTTGCGACCAGCAGAGACCGCGCTGCTCGCATTGCTTGGATCAGCAGATACTGTGCTTTTATGTGGCACCTCTGCCAAAACCACCGAAGCGGTCAACCAAGTCGCGTTCCCGCCACGTTGAGATCGTAAATTCCTCGCCCCGGCTGTTGGCGAGTTGACTTTTAATGAATCACGAGTGAATGAAGTTACTTTGGTCTTTCTACACAGCTCTTCTCTTATCGTCACGATAGTTTATTCCCGGCCGATAAGATAGGCACGTGTCTTAGATAGCTCTATCGTCCAGTCACCCCACATGCGGGGGAAGACTAGCAGAAGGTTGCTCAAGGGAGTGACACTTGGACTCCAGGTGACTGATCACAAACCGTACATTTCCGTATGCGGGATTCGGACGGAGAGTAGCATATTCAGGACATGCACGATTTGCCACCGTTCCTTCACGGCGGATATCCAACGCGGACCAGAACAGCTGTTTCACAATCAAACAAAAGGATGCGCAAGTTTATGATCGTATTTATCGAATATAAACTAGTCACTCCCCGCAATCGCTGATTTGACTTACCTCGGATACTTGATTTCAACATGCGCCGTTGCTAGCAGTCGTCGGAGCACTGTCAGCCGATTCCCCCGCCACAAGGTACCGTGGTACATATTTAGAGATGTAGTCTCTACAAGAGCAGTCTGAACTTTTGTTTGACTTCTATTTACAACTGGGTGCACGAGGGCGGTTCAAGGTTAGTTGCCGTTACCGTTCGCTTCACCATCGAGCTGACTGACACATAAACAGATGGAAGCAGAATACATTCGGATTGCGGACGCAATCCAACAAGAAGCTCGCAAGAATGACAAGAAGCGACTTCTCGTTGCTATAGCTGGAATACCAGGCTCTGGCAAGACAACCACAGCTTCAGCTGTCGCTCAACAACTCCGAACTGAGTCACAACCCAAAAAAATAGCACTCATTTCCATGGACGGCTTCCACTTGTCGCGGGCGGCATTGGACGTTCTTTTTAATCGTGAAGAGGCATACATCCGGCGTGGCGCACCATGGACCTTTGACGCAGTGCGGTTCGTTACGTTTGTTCAACAGCTACGACAGTGGGCAGACTCTACTCCGTTTCCCTCAGACGGAGACTCACCATGTGACGCTGCTGTGTTATATGCACCGTCATTTGATCACGAGGCGAAAGACCCCGTTGAGAACGGCATGGCTATCACAAGCGATGCCTCGATTATTATCATCGAAGGCAATTACCTCCTGTTGAACGAAGAACACTGGCGTGATGTGTCGCAATTGGTCGACTATCGCATATTCGTCGATGCAGACTTGCAAGAAGCCAGGGGAAGAGTTGCCAGACGACATGTCAGTGCGGGGATTGAAAAGACGCTGGAAGATGGCTTCCGTCGTGTGGACAGTAATGACTACTTGAATGCGCTGCATATCCAGGGAAAACTGATACGGCCGGATATGGTGGTTAAGAGTGTGACGGAAATCGCCTAAGATATCATCTAGTGTACATATCTAGGGTACAAGTTGCTCATAATAAGACAGCTTCATACAAAGGAAGCTAGATTCGGGGAAATGCCGGAGCAAACCGATCACTCCTTGATCTTGCTTTTGTGGAAAACATCTATGCGCCGAATTAGTTATCACCCACCAAGAGAACTAGACAGACTAGTAGTAGCTACTCACCCGGAATCTCAGGCATCCAACGAACCCTACTCTGACAGAAGAACTCTCCCTTGGGCGGCAACACCTCCGGATCATCCAATGTCCCTACACAAATATACCGGAAATCATTCTTGACCGCATCCTGTACAATACCTATTAGCATCACTCTCAATTGCATTCCCCACTAAAAGCCCCCTCAAAGAGACAGAACCTACCCCATACTCGCAAATATAACTCCCACAATCCCCACAAAATTCGCGATGGATCATACTCCCAGACCCATTATCGCCCACATACTCCTTAAGCGTACCAGAAGTAATTTGAAGAGCATCCTTGGGGACCTTGGCGGTTAGACCGTAGTTTGTTCCAAAAGCTTTCTATTTCCGGGGTATTTGTTAGTCAATTAGACACCTTGTGGACAAGATTAAGGTATAGATCGCAGATCATAACCCTGGATCTATCTGGCTAACCTTGCAGCTGCGACAATGGCAGAGAGACGTGCGGGCGTCGTCCGGAGACGAGAGGTTAAGGTTATAGGTGATTTTGTGACAGAAGCAGGAGCCGGGGTAGGATTGCATTTTGGTTAAGTGGTGATGGGATTGATGGTAGAAAGAAACACTGTTTGGTGGTTTCTGTGCAGTAATTGAGTAAATTTTATTGTTGAGGATATCATAATTGAGAATCCTGGGCTTGTTGTATAGAGCGATGCGCCTGACGAATGTTGACGTCACTGCTGTACTACAACCCCGGCGAAGAAAGATACTCGTGATCGGCGCGGACATGTTATCTTAGCAAATTGGGTAAAGATACGAAATCATAATGGATAAATTATAAGAGCATGTTATTGACCATGACACAAGCTATATCAGCCCTCGATAACCGTCGTAAGTTTAATTTGATGGTTGTCTGCACCGATAGCGTGATGTGATCATGACCGAATGAATCCCCTCATTTCTTTCGGCAGCTACCCGATCAGCTGATGTCCCATCTTTTATATTCCCCGACTGTCGCCTCTTTCATCTCTTTCATTTCTGACAAGAAACGGCGATCGCTCCGCGCGTATGCTGATCAGCCGAAAGGCTTATTCTTTCGCTCCTCTTTGTACATGCCGCATCGTACATAGTAGCTTCACCGGGCGTAGTTTATCCGCCACTTTCACAATGTCGCACAAGGAACAGCCTCACGAGTCGCAGCTGGAGAAGCGCGCTGTCGTTTCTTCATTTATTTTCCATTTCCCCAAGGGTCCGTCTGAGAGACCGGTTGTTGCGCTCTTCAAGCGGAGTGATAAGGTGCGGACGTACAGGTTTGTTTGTCCTGCATAATTTCTATTTCATTGCTGTAGTCCTCAACTCATTGTCGCAGCCATCATCTTGCCCCGATCTCCGGCAGTATAAGTCGCAACGACAATTTCCCCATCGAAGCAGCGTGGCGCGAATTAGCCGAAGAAACCTCCCTCGACCAATCTTCACTCACACACTGGCGCACAGGGAAGCCATTCACCTTTGAAGATCGATCTGTCAATCGCGAATGGACCGTTCATCCTTTTGCTTTCAAGCTGAAAGACCTATCAGAGGGAGGAAAGGGCGAAAGCGCTATCAAGATAGACTGGGAGCACGAGGGATGGGAATGGTACGATCCACAGTCGGTGCTGGACAGGGAAGACTTGGAGATTGTTCCGCGTCTAAAAGATTCCCTACGACGAGTCTGGTTTGAAGGAGAATTGAGCGAGCGCGCAGCCAAGGCGCTTTCACTTGGTTTAGAGCGTTTACGAAGCGACCACGAGAGCGGAGCGCAGGAATTGACCGCTATCGCGCTAGTGGCCTTCCGGGATTTCATTGTTCAGACGCAAGACGAGATCAATAGTGAGGAATGGTGGAAGACTGTTCGCATGGCAGCGTGGCATATTATCAAGAATGGCCGAGAAAGTATGGGCGCATCGACGATGAATGCCCTCATTGCCGTCCTAGATGAGATAAAGGACATACTTGTGGACGAGCAGACAAACTCGCAGCATAAGTTGGAGCGGGTCCTGAACGTGCTCGATCATCATCTCAAGTGTCGGAAGAGTCGCCAAACGCAAGTGAAGGATGCCTTTGCAAATTACATTCGATTCAAGTTCCTGCATCATGGGGAAATGCTGGATAAACTTACCATTTTGACTGTTTCGGCTAGCTCAACTATCCGGGACAGCATTTTGGAAGCGTATGCATCGCTGGACATCCGAAAGTTGGAACTTCGCATTCTGGAATCGCGGCCACTGTTCGAAGGCACTAGTATAGGCTCATCTATCGTCAGCAACTTCAAGTCAAAATTCCTCGACACCCCCGGCAAAGAACTGAAAGTGAAAATATACACAGACGCATCTGCCGCTTTGGCCGCCGCCGACGTGGATTTATTACTTCTCGGTGCAGACCGCATATCCAGCACAAAAGGAGTGAGCAACAAGACGGGGTCTTTACCAGCCGTGCTTTGCACAAAACACGTCAGTCCTAGTGCCCAAATTGCTGTTCTCAGCGATCTTGAGAAGATCAACTGTGTCGGAAGCATGATTGATGATGATCATCATGAAGACAACGATCCGATGGAGGTCATCAGTGCCTGGCGCAACGACGGCGTCAAGGCAGTGCGGGTGCTCGAAGATGGCATGAAGGAGGCTGATGCAGAGGGGTCGTCGACGGTCGAGGTGAAGAACACCTACTTTGAATGGGTGCCGTTGTATATGGTTGATGCGTTTGTTAGCGAAGAGGGTGTTATGGATGAGAGTCGCATTCGGGAGAGGTCGAAACAGTTAGGGGAGACGGTTAATAGGTTTTTTGAGGATTTGTGAAGATGCCATGGTGATTGGGTTTAGGGACGGGATAGTGATGGACTTACATATACTAATGGAATTTACTATTAAGGTACCCATAATATACATATACACCAGTATGGCCCCCATATGAGAATTCGGACACTTGCTTCTGCTTGAATGACTCATTTTGTCTATCCTTCCCAGGAAGAGATCCCCATTTCCCTTTCTACAGAGCAATTAGACTCTATCCGCCTTCTAAGTCGGGGATATGTCTTATTATTCCCTACAACGTGGTAACCACCCCATCTACACCAATGCAGCAGGTCACTTCCTCAAGAAAGTCAACGCAGCCAAACACAACGCATCCACCCCCGTCCTCATCGTCGGCTGCACCACCGGCGCAAACAGGGCCGAATGATTCCCCGGAATCTCCTCAACCTTCCCCTCCTTCTCAGCCCTATCCCAAACCTCCTGATCCACACCCCCAAGCAACCAAAAACAGCTCGGAATACCCCGACAAGTAGCAAGGGTACTAAAGTCCTCGGCGATATTAGTCCTAGCCACATCAGGATCAAAATCCTCAAAATGGCCCGCAAACGTCTCCGCAACCCTCCTAGCCACATCCCCATCATTAACCGTAGGCGGAAACCTCCTCGTCGGGGTAAACACCGGCTTCACCGGCGACCCGCTAGCCAGGCACTCGGCCTGCACAATCCTCTTAATGCCCTCAATAATCTGCTCCCTAACCTCCAACCTCACAGACCTAAAATCGACCCCAATCTCCGCCCGATCCGCAATAATATTCTCCGTCTGACCCGCCTGCAAACTCCCCACCGTCAACACCGCCAAATCCGCCGGATTAATCTCCCGACTCACGATACTCTGCAACCTCACCACAATATGCGCCGCAAGCAACACCGGATCCACCGTCTGATGCGGCTGCGACCCATGTCCGCCCCGTCCAAACACCGTAATCTTCATACTATCCGCCGCCGCCATAATAGCCCCCTCGCGGGACGCGACACTACCCGCCCGCATGCGCATGACATGTTGACCGAGGACTACGTCCGGCACGGGAATGCGCGAATAAAGCCCATCGTCAACCATGGCTTGTGCGCCGCCTCCGCGCTCTTCGTCCGGCTGGAATAGCACGATCAGCGTCCCGCTCCATGCGTCTCGCAGCTTGACGAGGGTTTCGGCTGCCGCGAGGAGACAGGTCATGTGCATGTCGTGTCCGCAGGCGTGCATGACGGGTCGGTCGTTGCCGTCTGTGTCAAGCATGGTGATGGTGCTGGCGTAGGGCAGGTTGGTTAGTTCCTTTACCGGGAGGGCGTCCATGTCTGCGCGGAGAAGGACGGTTTGGTTGTTTTTGGATTCGTCCTTGACATTGCGGAAGACGCCGGCGAGACCGTACCCGCCGATGTGGGTGTGGATGTCGAAGACGCCGAGTTGGGTGAGATGCGCAGCAAGTTTTTCTGAGGTCTGTTTCTCCTGTCGGGAGAGTTCGGGGTGCGCGTGGAAGTGCTTGTAGAGGGCTTCGTAGGGGGTGAGGTCTAAGGGGGTGGAGGAGAGGAGGGATGATACGGTGGTGGTGGTGGGGTGAGTCATGTTGGGTGTAAATGGGTGGTTGAGTAATGGTGGGCTATTAGGTATAAATTGGTTGTGGTAAAAGGAAAGAGATGCATGTCAGTCAGATTAAGCTGGAGGTTAATGAAGCTAACTAGTCCGTAATTGTTCTAGTTTTGTCACTAAGATGGTGGGCTGAGATTGCGTGTTTTGGAGAAGTGATCTTAGTCTTTGATGTGACTAACGGCGGATCGGTGGGATGTATACAGAGCGGGGACTAAACATTGCAAGGTAGTTTGAGGGCAATGGTTTACTCCCTCATAGCCCTGATAATTGTCTGTATTGAACCACTTCTACTAGAAAATTACAGATTCGCTAACCAATTTATACGCATGATCAAGTAAATTCTATCAAGGTCATCTTGGTAAATTCAAAGCTACGCCCTCACCGCTTTCCCCCACATTTTATTGCCGGTGTCACTCCGCATTGACACTCGCTTATCGATAACGAAGCTCTTACACTACACCACACACGTACATAAAAGGACGAAGGAGGAACAAAGGGAGAATACTCTGACTAGGAGAAGGGAGAAAGGCAGTTAAATGCAAAGCCCATAAGTACCAAGGATTACATTCAACGATCCTGACCAACAGGAAGAAGCAATAATTGAAGATCATAACAAACATCAGGGAATTCACAAAAGACACTAGTATTAGATAGCACGTCTCGCTGATATCATTGCAAGCAAAGGCGCCAGAAACTGCTGATGAGTGTACGAAATGGCTGATACCGAAATCCAAATCCTCTTCCTAGCAGGTCAGGAGTTTCGGCGTCGCAACGCCGGTCATGAACAAGAAGCAACCGTTTGAAATGCATCGGACATCTGGTTCCCCGACCTCCGTGGTAGCCGCCCACGCATTGTTAGACTTCTGCTCCGAACGCCGAGCTGTAAACCCCGAATCCCGTATCTATAAGGCGTTCCGATGATCTGCGATCATGAGATTGGTCTTCGGTTGAGATGTTCCCTGTACGTACTGAAGATTTTTGTAATCCACAAGTGCATATTAAGGTTCATTAGGTTGGCTTTTCTCCTAGAGAGTATGAGTTTATTGGTAGAATGAAGATATACAATTTCTGATATAGCTATATAAGAAATAATATACGAATTCATATCATACGTCTATACTACCAGTGTCTTACATAGCTATACTACATATTTGGGCATAATAATGGTTTGTTCTATATTTACAGTGCTGTATTGCTATATATCACATGTGTCCTTTCTGGCTAGTCATGCATCGATCGCCTACAGGGAACATGGGTTAATGGAGCACACAATTTGAGTTTGCGTCTCATTTAAGGAAACAGATAGTGTCCTCTGCTTGAACTGGATGCAAGGTCGGACGCAGGAGAGAGTAGATCATAACCGAGGCTAGTACCTCCCCCACCTTTCCACGATCGGTCTTTCTTTCAGCTACTATATATTCGGGTATTCGTTTCTGAGATGGTTGACTTTCTTTGCTCACTCTATCTCCTCGTCCCCTGACTGTTGAGCGCAAAACTATATCTTTCAAGATGACCCTCAACCAATTTCTACAGACCGACCGTGAGACATACTCCTATGTCTTCATGAAGAATGTCGACATTCCCTTGACAACCTCTGGCAAAGGAGTCCTCCGCGCCAACGTCTATCTCCCCAAAGATGCCACCCCATTCGGCTCGCAAACCTACCCAGTGATCGCAACCTATGGTCCCTGTTCGTATAGCTGCTAGCAAGTAACCCAATGCATCGCTAACAATTATTCAGATGGAAAAGACGTTCCGTATTCCGTCTTTAATCGAAATAGCTTCGATGAGGTAAACCCGCAGCACAAATCTGCCCATTCAGCGTGGGAAACCCCCGACCCAGGGTACTGGACTCAGCGGGGCTACATCGTCTTGAGAGTAGACGAGAGAGGAACTGGGCAAAGTCCAGGGCAGTTAGACGTCCTGTCTCGTGGAACCAGTGAGACGTTCTTTGACGTGATCGAGTGGGCTGCTGAGCAGGAATGGTCGACCGGCAAGGTCGGCCTGCTGGGGGTCAGCTACTACGCCGCTACGCAGTGGAGTGTGGCAGCTCGCAGACCCAAGGGGCTGGCCGCGATTATTCCTTGGGAGGGCTTCAGTGACTATAACGGAGAGGCTGTTCGTCATGGTGGCATCCTCGCGGACCAATTTATAGGTCGGTCAGCACCCCCTTTGGTGTGTCACGATTTCTTCGATATTGACTGCGCTGGCGGTTTGGGATCGTACAGGGATATGGTGGTCTCGGCAAGTACTACCCAACCAATATGGCACTCCCGGTCGCTGGGGTGACCCGACTCTCGAAGGCGACTTGGATTCGGAGACCCGAACTCACAACCTGGCTGGCTTGACCGATAACACCGTCCGGTATCCATTCGCGGACGATGAGCAAAACAAGTCTCGAGAGTTTGCTGTTGAGGATGTCGAAGTCCCCCTACTCAGTGTAGCCAACTGGGTAAGCCAGCAACGAGGCCTGATATGAATACGAGCGTGTACTAACATCTAGGCGCTAGGGTGGTATTTTGCTGCACTTGCGTGGAAATGTGGTCGGATGGATGCGAGCGTCTTCTCGATACAAGTTTCTACGCTTCGTCGTTGGCCGACATGACTTACCCTTTTACTGGGAGCAATCGGCGGAGCTGCAACGGTCGTTTCTGGATTGCTTCTTGAGAGATGACGACCATGCGGGCTGGAAGACTACCCAGCCCCGGGTCTATCTCACTCTGCGGAACAAGAATTGCGATCCCAAGAATGAGTTAGATCAGCCGGGTCGCCCCGAGGCGGATTGGCCTATCCCCGACACCCAGTATACCAAGTTCTTTCTCACACCGAAGCGTACTTTATCTACCGCAGCTGCTAAGATGACGGGCACCTGTACCTACGATGCGCTCCATGGGTAGGTCATCCCTCTCCTGAACTCATTACCTTCGTGGTCTAACTTCTGCACAGGGACCCTATCCAATTCCATTATACGTCCAGCTCTTCCATTGAGATTACGGGGCATATCGTCGTACACTTAACCATTTCCGCCTCTCGACTCAACCCTGACGATGCACCCCCTTCTGATATAGATATCTTCGTCACCCTGCGCAAGCTGGACAAGGAGGAAAATGAAGTGTTCTACACGGGCACCGTCGGCGATCCGGTTCCCGTTGTCAAGGGGTGGCTGCGTGTTTCGCACCGTAAGGTGGACGAGACACATCCTTTGCACCGCCCTTACCTGCCATATCGCAGCTACTCCCGTGCTGATGTGCTGCCGGTGGTAGAGGATGATAAGTATCCAGTTGACGTGGAAATGTGGCCGACAACCACGGTCCTGGAAGCCGGAGAATCACTCGTGCTGGAGATTGCGGGTCACGATACGCAGGGTGTGGGCTTGTTTTCGCATCAGCATCCAGAGGATCGCGCCCCGGACAAGCTTGCAGGCCTGAATCACGTAGAGGTGGGTAGGGATAGTAGCTGGATTTTGCTGCCTGTCATCCCAACGCGGAACTAGCATCGGAGGTTAGAATGTTCTTATCAGCCCTCTACGTAGACGGCCATATCCATCCGGGCTAGCACTGGGATGATTTATTCAGGACATAATTGGGGAACAATGAGCCTGTCGCATACAGAGATAACTCCGTCCATCCTCCTATGGGCTCTCAGACCCTATTTACTTTATAGCAGAACTTTTTAACTTTACATGCCCTGTGCCCTCATTGCCTTTCCCCACAACTTTGGCCCGCCACTCCACGACCTCCAATCTAGCTATTAACAACGAAGGTGAAGATATACTAGGATCGGTCGTCGCATTCTGTTAGTCGGAAACCCTACTCTGTTAAGCTACATACAAGAAAACAGAAACTATGAAAGCTTCTACCAAGGAACGGAAGAGAGCGGCCGACCGCGAAGCGCAACGAATCAACCGTGCTCGAACCAAAGACTACATTACGCCAACCTTCAGTATCTTGGTAGTGGACGTCAACGCACCTAGAAACCATTTCCAAACGCCATGGAGTTTCACTGCTGCCAGGCTGGTATACACGCTCGACATGATGCGGGCCAATGATTCCGATAACAAGGACCAGATAGCTGCGGCCCATTTCTTCTGCGGCGAGCATGTTGATACCAGCAATGAGCTAAATTCTCCGACCATCGCGAACGAGATTTTGTCACAGCTTCTGTCTTCCTTCAAGCATATCAACCTTGTTCCCCTTCCGAAGATGGGCGAATTCGATGGGGACGACATGCAAGCCGTCTGTCAACGGATTGAATGCTTCCTAGATCTTCTGCCAGCGACGGCGGTTGTCTTTTGCATAATCGACGGCTTGTCATATTACCTCGCTGAGGAGCAGACGCCTGAGCAGGCAAACGAGTTGCTTCGGTGGCTTATCAAATTGACACGCCACCAGAAAAAGGCCAGGGAACACTTGGAAGTATGCACGTGCAAGTTATTTCTTACTGCGCCGCGGCAGCTTCAAGGATCGTATGTCACAGAGTTAAAAGCGGATGAAGTTCTAAATGTGCCAATCAGGCCTCCTAGAACAGGAGGCTTCACGGAAATGAAATGGGAAGCTGGAGCGGGTGGCTAATTTGGCATGCCAGGATGAGGTGTTTGTATAGCAAGCAAATGATTACAAGAATTTTGATATAACAAGAGCATGTTTCTGAATGAAAAAGCCTAAATGGTGAAATCGCTGATTTACTTTGAGATGGCTGAAAAATGTCCAATCTCGTCCCTAGATTCTACCTAAACTCTGACAGGTCAGACGAGTGGTGGAGATCTTACATCTGTCGAAATAGTACTATTTAATTACTGCCAAATGGGTAAAGATGCCTAAATAAAGTACAACAAGAATGGGAATACGAAATTTGATTGCACGGGTCGTTGGCTACTCTGTACAATCTGAGAGCGCAAGCCTGGAATTTACAGAGTTGTTTGCGTGACATACTACCGATGAGCTGGTGCGCGTTATTCAGTTGTATCTAGCTTTCCAAGGATGTAATTTGCAAGAGTAGGGGGGTATAGGTCAACCATATTTCATGGAAAGAGTCATATTGTTCAGACAGAAGGCGGGGAAGTCCTTCCTCCCAGCTACTAGTATTCTCTTTGACTGAGACAGAAACCTTGGACCGCCAGATTTATCCTCCGTTGCGAACATAGACTGTTTATGCGGTTGAACAACACAATAGAGCTGTCGAAATCCTGAGTCCCTTCACGAACAAATTGTCTCATGGATTCGCAGACAGTTCCACATTTGCGCCAGACTATTATGAGAAGTAGAAAGACAGAGGCACACCGAGAAAGTATCGTGCACGAGCATACCAGCCTCTAACTAATCAGTAGCGTGCTCCTCCTTGACCATCGGTCTTAATAGAGCCTTGGTGTCTCCCACAGCCTGACTGCACATATATAACAGGAAAAGCCGGAAGTTCGTCTCTCTCGCGCCCGGAGTATAGAAGTCGTGGAGAGGACTCTTCAGCACAACCAACTCTTTGCCATCGAAGTAAGCGATCAGAATTCTCGCCTTCAGATTGTTTGTGCATGATGTCAAGAGAACCTAGAATGCCTCTATTAGTTGGGAAGGTTCAAGAGGAAGCTGATTTCGGGGAGACATCAACTCACCGGAGCCACAACGTGGTCTTGCAGCTCTACCCTCCCAAGCCGGGTCCTCATGACGCCGACTAGAACAAGAAGTTCGGAACGGAGGATGTTATTATCGCACACTCCCTCATGAGTCACGATCAGGTTTATGTGAGGAAGTTCCTGGCCCTCGGGCTGGTTCGGATACCAAGCATCTTCGAAGCTGAGAGGTGGTGAGGCCAGAGGATCACTACCAGGGTCTGTGAACATAGCCATATTCATATAACGTTCCTTGATTATGGTATTATTGAAGGACCTGGCGGATGGGTGCTTGTCAGTATGCATAGCTATCATGGAATATTTACGTATATACGCAGTGGTTAACTGACCTTCCGAACCAGCCTGACAGATCATCGAGCGTATGTTCGACCCCTGTGGTTCTCCTTGCGTGCCATGTATATTCGCAGACGAACACACTGGACAGGAGAAGCCCAGAGTCGTCACGTTCCGGATCAAGCTCGCCGGTCGATTCACGCGACCTCTCTTCATCGAGGTCTGCGAAGCACGCCTCATTGGTTCGGATGGATTTTTTAGTATCCGGGTCGTCAAGATCAAGGGGAAACTGCTCGAGCTTTTCCAAGGTCCAAGGCTTGAAATAAGTCTGTGCAGTAGCCGAGGAGCGACCGTCGGTGCGCAGCCTGAGGTCATGGCACCTGATGTTGTATTCGGCAGCCTGATCGTTGGTGAGACTGGTCAACGGCAAGAGCTTGACAGACCGGTGCACTTCTCGAAGGTTATTTAGAATCTCCTTCCGCGCTTCTTTGAAGGTCTCATCGTTGTCCTGCCTTTTCTCTCTGGAGCGCCTCAACGTGCCAAACAAGTTCCGAAGTGACATTTTGGGGACACAATTATTGTTGATTGGGCCTAGGAGAAACAGAAAGGTGTCTTGGGGAAAAAGCCCGCAACTTAAATCAAGGAGATGATTCTTGCCTATGACTTACGAATGAGGTAGAATGTGTGTTGTGTGGGAAGACGCGGAGTGGCTCCCACAACCATGGTCTCAACTGAGGTACTGAGTAGTGAATGCAAACCAACTTTGTCCACCGATAGTGTTTTCATTCGTTACCGGTGTTACTGATCCTTTGTTTCCACCGTATTTTACTTCTTGTGAGAAGTTTCGCTGCAAGAGTTCTTCCTCAACAACGCGCTAAACCAACCCAATCTGACTTGTACGCCTTGGATCGACCAACAGAAAACATGGCAGAGAGACGAAAGGCGCCTAAGGTGCCTAAAGTCGCTAAAGGACAGCTACGTGTTACCGGGTTCAAGATCCCGAAAGATTTGGCACAATTGAAATCCATGTTAGCCAAAGACGGCCTCGGTTCGAAGACTATTCATGACATAGAGCCTGGGCATCTGGGCTCAGGTTCCGACATCAATCAACGTCAATATGCCATGTTTCGCGCGTTTTCCACACCCATTTTCCGTCATAGTCGATTGCTCAAAGATATGCAGGACTTCGGGCTCGACCAGACTTGGGACCGGGCGAGGAATATAGTCAACCAGTCCTCCGAGTTTCGGCGGTACCTCGCACTCTTACAGGGTGTGCAAACAGTGTCCGGTCTGAGTCCGTCTAGTGCGGCGTGGCCGGGAGCTTTTAAACCAACGCGTGACATTCAAGAGCAATTTGTGACGGTCAAGGGCGTGTCGACTCTTGAGAGAAGCCAGAAGTCAAGACCTCGTGGAACCAGAAGAGCGACTACTAGAGCTAAACAAGAAGACTTGAGCACCGGTAAAAAGACGATTGGACGAAGACTCGGGCGCAAAGTTGCCGAGGCGCTAAAACGGGGTCGCTCTTCAATCGAATCAGAGTCAGATTCGATGTCTCACTCCATTTTCGAGGATCCCGATGTTGTTTCTAGTGAAGATGACGACCCGACATATGTTGAAGATGATGACAAGTTACCCGATGCCGACGACGAAACAAGCGTCAACACGGCGCTCATTCTGCTCTTGAAAGAGATTTCGCACCTGATTCCGAACATTAAGTCGGACTGGACATTCGACCGTCTCAGTTTTTCGCCGCAATTTCGAAAAGCTTCCTACACCGCATTCACAGACGGCGGGCTACGATCAAAGACGAACCAAGCTATCCTGTACATTTTAGAAGCTAAACGAAGGGTCAGATCGCAAAGATACGAAGAAATCGTGATGCAGGAAGCCGCCGAGCTCGTTGGCTGGATTCAGCATGGAGACTCTCCTCGCCCTGAACTCAAGGGACAGTAAGTCAATGTTATCCAGATCTCAAACGGTGAAATATCGTTGTGTCTGTACTAATTCGGCCGTATGATGGTGAGTAGTCTTGCTATACTTTCTGGTGATCGACATGAAATTTTTGTGACATTTGCGTCATGCTCTCCCGACTACCAGGCATACTTGAACCCCCAGATCGGGCTCGCAACACCAGATACCCATATGAAGATGCGGACTTACGGCCCGTATAATACTCTTGTGAACCGCCACATGGAAAACTTCGCAGTGGTTGTGGTTAGCTTGATGCTTCTTGCAGAGAAAGCTCTATAAGGAGGTTGTGATACTAGGCTCGTCTAAGATCGGTAACAAGGTGTGTGATAGTAGCCGGCTTAAAATGTGAATGTTCAAGACAGGCAAAACCACAAGACAGGGGATTGGGGCTGAGATCGATGTATTTAAAGGCTATCTTTCAGTCAACAATAATCTGATATCAGGACTCGGCACGACGACTTACAAGCTTTGAAGCATACAAGTTTTATTACAGCTAAGCCTCCATAATGTGTTGATGGTGCAATACACGTGGGTCAAATTGAGTACCTCTTACACTTGGGTGAATGGGTAAGTCTCGGCTGACGCAGCAACTTGCCTACTGGACGCCAATAGTAAAATTTGAATTCGACGACTCACAATAGAATGTACTAAGAAGATCTTATGGCCTCAAAGTTCTTGGGTGCATACCAATTAAATATCCAATCGTGTGGTCCAACCAGCGGCATTGGGGTGACTTTTCCGCGCATTCCAAACCCATCGCAATTCAGGTATGCTGCGATCCGTAGGTATGTAAGTGTTTCAGCAACACAGATAAGACACCGAGCCCGAAGCCTGCTATGTATTACAGATAAGGTTGAATGCGTCGGAAGTCTACCTATGAGGAGTGAGAATTTGCTGCGATTTCCCCATCTCTGCTTCTTACCGCCCACTCATCATGCGAAGGCCGTCGCGCTTTCAACTGTGCATTTGTTTATTATTTCTCATTATATTGATACTCTTGGCGAGCCATATCTATGACCTATGCAACCAGTATCGTGCACAAGAGTACATAATCGATTGGTTCAGTCTTGAACGGACCGGCCAAGTGAGAATATCTTCTCCAGGTCAGACTGGCGACAAGGTGATCGTGGCTGCAAAGCTGCAGAATGAGGAGACAGAATGGATCGAACATGAACTACCGGAGTAGGCAGCTTAACATTCTTCAACAACTACAAACTGTTTACTAATCATATGAAGCTGGCAACGAGCTATCTACATCGTCAACCCATCACAAGAAGTTGCAGCTGACAGCCGACAACTTACAACACCCCTTAACAAGGGCCATGAATCCATGGCTTACCTAACATACCTTATAGATTACTATGAGAGGCTCCCTTCCACCATTGCATTTATCCATTCCCACCGCTCGGGCTTTCTTCGAGCCTGGCATGTCGATGCACCTTTGCATGATAATGTATGGTCCATGAGAGCCCTACAGCTGGACTTTGTCCAGCAGAATGGCTATGTCAATCTACGATGTAACTTGAACCCAGGGTGCGAGGCCATATACCATCATGTAACACGTGATATCTTCACGGAAATATTTCAAGACACCAGCACACCGCCACTAAACGGAACTGATCTTGCGGTTGGAAGTGACAAACGCGCCATTCAAATACCTAAGACGGTTGCGGCAGCGTGCTGTGCGCAGTTTGCAGTATCTCG